TATATCATTGGATATAAATGAATCTAGTACAAATAACACTAACTCATACATCTAATAAAAGTATCATAACGCTTACTTCTACTGCATCATTCAGTCACACCATTTAATTAAATTTATCTCTGCCTATAAATGAATCCAATACAAAAGAAACCTAACTAAACATCTAATTAAGAAACACTAACTAGTACATCTACTACATCATTCAATCACAGAATCTATATATAACTGTCTATACATGAATCCAATACAAATAAACCTTAACTAATCAACTAACTAAAAAAACCATAACTACTACATCTACTGGATGTGATTCAATCACAAATTCTACATATCAGTGGCTCTAATTGAATCCAATACAAAAAATCCCCAACTAAACGTCTAATTAAAAAACACTAACTACTACATCTACTGGAGGTGGATTCAGTCACACATTCTACATATCAGAGGCTATAAATGAATCCAATACAAAAAAACCTAAATAAACATCTAATTAAAAATCCTAACTACTACATCTACTAGATGTGATTCAATCACAAATTCTACATATCAGTGGTCTAATTGAATCCAATACAAAAAATCCCCAAGTAAACATCTCATTAAAAAACCCTAACTACTTGATCTACTGGATGATTCATTCACAGAATCCAAACTTAACCTTCAATCAATCAAACATCTAAGAACCCTAATTATCAGAAGGGGATGCAGCAACTAGCAACAACAAAAAACCCTCACACCTAAATCCACTGATTAACGGGGGTAACTACCAACGGAGGGGACTGCTGGCAAGGATTACCTGCAGGTCCACATGCTCGCCGCCGGCCTCCGCAGGTCCATCAGAAGGGCCGCTCGATGCCGTCACGCCATGCTCCAGCACGGCTGACTCCGCCACGGCGGAGTCCACCACGGCCACCTTCTTCTCCTCTAGATCCGCCGTCGCGGCGACCGATCCAGCGCGTGGGGATGCAGCACCTCCTGCACCCGCACCGCCGACGAGGGTCTGGACGGCATCTGCCACGGTCTCCGCGCCCATCTTCTGCAGATCTCCGTCCGCAACGGCGGCTTCGCCACAGCCTTGCTCCATCCGAGCCAGAAGCAAGCAGGAGAAGAGAGGGAGGCGGTGGTGGTGAGCGAGCAGGTGGGTTGGCCGGTGGGGAAGACGATGAGGCAGAAGAGAGAGGAGGGAGAGGGAGGCTATTTGTGGGAAATGGGGTGGGCGATGCGACCGGTGCTAGTTCCCCTCCTCTTATACTATGGGGCTTTTTTTTGGAAACTAGCCACGCACACCTCCACGCGCACGACCGCGGGGAAACGCAACCGTCAATGTATAATATACGTACACGCCCGGCGTACAATAGTACATGGGCCGGCGCGGGCTCATACAGGGCTCTACGACTGGTCTACGCGCACTCTACGCCCGCCTGAAATGACCATTGTGCCCCTCATTATGAACCGGCATCAACGCATCTGGACCGTCCTTGTGTTTTTTCCCACACGCGTTCTTCCTAATAAATGTGTGAAGTTGAGTCACTGATTTTGAGACGGAGGGAGTACTTAATTAGCTAGAAGTATGACAGGAGTGTCTCACATGGAGGATGGACGTGTTTAGGTGCTCCCTCCCTCCCCGAAGATGGGATTTGTCCGCATGTGGGCAAGAATACACGTGAGAGAGAAGCTGGCAGATTCTACGCTCATAGAAAAAGACCAGACCAGAGGACGATGTGGCGGTAGGCGGCAAAATTTCGTATTTTGACCCTTTTCTGAAACCTATTCGAGATCTGATCCTAGTTTGAAAAAAATTCAAGATCTGACCCTTTTGCTACCGCCAGAGTCCATGGCGGTAGGGTCTAACAACCTACCGCCAAGGACTTTGGCGGTAGGAAACATCGCTACCGTCAAACGGTCTGGCGGTAGCCTGCACAACCCTACCGCCAAGGTGCTTGGCGGTAGGCACGAGCATGCACTGTGTTCAATACTTAGTAGGTTTTTGCGGTACGGCATGCAACCCTACCGTCAGGGTCCTTGGCGGTAGGCTGTTATACCCTACCGCCATGGTCTCTGACGGTAGCAAAAGGGTCAGATCTCGAAAAAATTCAAACTAGGATCAGATCTCGAATAGGTTTGGAAAAAGGATCAAAACACGAAATTTTGCCGCGGTGGGCACATGTGAGATTCCTACGCATCGGATGCTCGTACGTGGTGATTTGACATATGGCGTCTGGTCTGCAGGACGCAACGATCTACCATGCTTAAGCCTTGGCCCCGCTAGTATCTGAGTTTACACTATCGTACTAGATCCAACACACGCCACACGACATATCCTTCTTGTTCATAACTTGGGGTAGCATTTTCCAAATTACTCTTAATAACTACTCCCTCCGTCACATAATATGAAAGCGTCCTTTACACTACACTAGTATGAAAAAAGACTCTTATGTTATGAGACAGAGAGATTATTTAATACACTAGGAATGCCACAGGAGGATTGCCCGTGGCGGACGGCTGGCTTTAGGCACTCCCTCCGTGGAGGACTGTCGGCTAGCAAATATTTCTGAGGTTTAAAATTATATTTATTTTTATACGAATAAACAAATGATAGTATGAAATGAACATGATGCACATATATGACTCCTAATTACTACTCCCTCCGTCCTATATTATGAAAGCACCCTCCGTCTCATAATATAATAGTGCTTTTAAAGTACACCAGTATTAAAAAGACCATTATACTATAAGACTAGGAACGTCACATGAGGATCCCCCGTGGAGGACGGCTGGGTTTACGCAGTCACTCCCTCTCCGGTTCATACGTGAGAGAGAAAAGGTATCGGAATCTGCAATGATACGTGAGAGACCTGACCGGACGACAAAGTGACGGTGGGCACCCGTGAGATGCCTACCCGTACACGGTGACTTGACATACTGTGTCAGCTTTCCGCGTGGCCACGGTCAAAACACGCGGCGCCAGAGTTTACGGATGAATCTGGGCAGCAGTAGGCTGAATCGTACAAAGTGTGACATGCACAAGTGGTGCCGCATACCAAGACTTTGGGCAGCATGCAGTACTAACATGTCACAAGACTCTGGGTCAGCTTTGCAGGACAGGTGATGCCGTGCCGCAAGTGGCAAGACCAAAGTTTTTGAACCCTTTGCACGCGAGCAACCCCATGAAGTTTCGTTTCACTCTCATCATCACGGTATTGTTAGGGCCCTCTCATGCATAGTCACACATTTTCTATGCCGGGTACAAAGCACAAGAGGTGAGCAGAACCTGTCTTGGATATGTGCAGTGCTTGGCCTTTTTTTTTTGGATTCCTGGCTCCACCAGACAACAACGGGCGTACAGTCAGCTTACTTCAGAATGGCAAGGCCGGCATGCCGGTTTCAAAGAAAAGAAAATACATGAGCTTGCACAGGCCCCACAAATGATTCCATTATCATGGTCGTTCACGACTTGGGGGCATTTTTGGACCTTTCTCGACAGCTCCACCAGGGTTCAAGTTCCTGATCATTGCGATCGACACTTCCACTAAGTGGATAGAGACAGCAAGGATGACTGACTAGAGCAGTAGTGAGCTTCATTGATGGCCACGTCTTTGCGTTATTTGGTCTTCCGGGGCTAATAATAACCGACGATGGCTCGCAGTTTATGACCCACAGCTTCATCGAGTTATGCGAAGACTAAGGTACCAATATATTCTTCGTATCAATTACGCTACCATAGAGCAATGGGCAAGTCGAGCGAGATCAACCACGTTCACTGAGAAAGCATAATCTAGCGTCACGTGGATGATCTCAACGTTGTGTCGGAATAACGAAACATCATGATGATCCATGCGGCTAAATATCGGTTGAATCTTGCGTGTTATAATCAGTGGCACATTAAAAAGAGAAGTCTGGAAGTAGGGATCTCGTCTTTCCATTGATTCAGTCTCCAGAAGGGTAGAACAAGCTATTCTTCGAGTGGGAAGGACCATACACATCCTCTGTCTGTCTGCCCCATCTCCTATGGCTTTTGGGCCATGAAGGGTGCAATGGAACCAGGCCCTTACCAGCAGGAGGGATCCAGCTCCGTTTTAGCCATTTTTAAGCGATTAGGGTTTGTGTCCTGCTCGAGAATTTGAGGCATAAGCGGCTCCATGAAGATGAGATAAAGTCCTCCCCGCCTATCTCATCTCCCTGTGGTGCATCTAGTGTAGTCATAGGGCATGTAGAGGTGTGTCTCCGGTGGATCTAATGGGATTCGGTCGGTGTTGGTTTCCGATGGATCTCCGCGGATTTATTCTTTGTTCGTGGGTCTAAAGTTGTATCCATGCGATCTACCATTCTATTTATGAGCGACAGTTCCTGTTCTGGTGCGCTGGTCCTAAGGGCAATTAGAACAACGACTTCCCGACTTTCTAGTGCAACAAGGTTTGTCCGGCTCTAGTGAGGGAAGGGCGATAATGGGGCCGCGCCTTTGGCTCACTCCAGTGATTGTAGTTGTCGTTAGGTGGTCATGTGGTATGCATGCAGTCTTGCAGATTTTTCACTCGACTTTGAATGAATCTACATTCTCATGTCGATGTACTATCAGCAAGCAGTGGCCATTGATGGCATTAGGAACGACCATATTGTATGGACACTATAGTTGACTCGAAGTCGGGGTCGCCTTTATACAGCCTACAAATTGCGCGAAGCCCAACACCGAAACCCCAACACCAACACCAGACAGACTAGCTTACTGGCACAGCGCAACGATGAGCACCATACTCATCACCATTTCTTTTGTGCTGATGTTCTGGGCTGCCGCTCCACGAGTCGCTGGAGCCGCCGGAGGGATCTTGCAGATCCCTTCTAGTGACTCCTTGGCTCACTGCATCCCAAGCTGTGGAGATGTCGACATCTTCTATCCCTTTGGTATAGGGCCCGGCTGCTTCCGTCAAGGCTTCGATCTCACCTGCAACCACTCCACCAAGCATCCAAAGCTCTTTTTAGGCAGCAGCACTGTCCAGGTCACTGACATGTACCACGGCGGATTTTCGACCCCTATAATCTTCACTCTTACAACGACGCCAGGTACATATACCTACACCATGTCATGGGAGGCCCCTGCTAAAGGTATTACTATCGGTGGTGATAATACTTTTTACGTGGTTGGTTGTGATTTTGATGTCACGTTGTTCGAGTATGGTACACAAGACGTCGTTGGTTCTTGTATGAGTAGATGCGGCGGTAAGAAGGCACCAACCGGCGTGCCTTGCAACGGAATAGGCTGCTGCGTCATCCAGTTACCAAGGGACCTGCCAGGCTTTCAGGCAAAACTTGTGAGCACTAATACTACGGCAACACAATCAGATTGGTTGCACCCTGGCATCATGGCTTTCATGTCACTTGATGATTATGAGTACAGAGATAACACAACTGCTATTTTCTCAAGCTGGACGAATGTAAGAAATTTTCATGGCGCGATGCTTAGAGTAACCATCGTGGACCAACCAAGCTGCGAAACTGCACAAATGAAAAATGCGAGCTATGCCTGTAGCAGCTGCCAGAATTCCTCATCTGGTGGTTACGGGTGTTATTGCAATAGACAAGGCAACCCTTATATTTTAGATGGATGCATGCAAGGTACTTCCGGCCCTACCTCTCCAAAATGAGTTAAAATTTCCTTCTATTTAGCCTTCATCCTCTTGTTCGTCTTACTTATTGTGGGTATCTACTGTGGAGCAGATTATAACCACAAGCCGAAAGAACACTGTCCCGCGTCATGTGGAAACATTACTATTCCCTTCCCCTTTGGGCTCGAAGAAGGGTGTTTTGCAAACAAAAGATTTCATCTTAATTGTACATCTGGTAATCTCACGGTGTCTTTCTCAGAAGATGTACAGTATAATGTGACTGATGTATCCGTGGAAGATGGGACTCTGACTGTTAACAACATGGTGAACGGAAGTAATGAAAAAGAGGCAATATTCATCCAGACTAAATATGATGGATATGGACTGTATGCCCCTATGGAAGATCAATTTGATTTCTCTATGGAATACAATATTGTCATAAAGTGGGCGGTTGCCAATTTAACATGTGAAACAGCTATGCAAAAGGATGCTATGCATGCATGCCGCAGCTCCCAGAGCTATTGCCTAAACGTCACCCATGGGGAAATATTTATGGGATATCGTTGCAAGTGTTCGACAGGCTTTCAAGGAAATCCATACATCAAAGATGGCTGCATAGGTCTGGTCCTCCTCATCATCTTAATTGTGCACTAATGTTGCTCTTGCATGTACAAATATTTTAAAAATCTATTTATCTATCAACTATATATTAAAAGAAAAAATACGAGATCACTAGAAATTCTCAAAAAAAGAAAATTATCCGCTCTTCGATCTGGTGGACCATCCCTTTATCAGTAGATCACAACCGTTACGTCCACATAACTGTACTTGAACAGTTGGTATCAATTAGATCTACATAATCATACATTAACACATCACATCCGCTAGATCTTTATAGTCGTACCTAAAGAAATCACATCCATTAAATCTGCATAGTTGTAAATAAGCATATCATATCAGAACTTTTTATAAACATATCATAATCGCATCCATCAACTAAACTGACCGCATCCGTTAGAATGAATAACTATGCCTTATCAAATCAAATCCATTAGATCTACATAGTCATACCTAAACGAATCACATATGTTGGATCTTCATAACTGTATCTAAACATATCATAATCAGTTGATCTTCATATGTCAAAAAATCATTGCCGATAGATCATCATGATTACATTTATACAGATCTCACACAATTTATTTATAATGCATGTGTTAATTATTAATTGAACTACGAATTAGAAGACGATATATCATCTCTCCTTATTTGGTGGTTGACTTCGGTGGTGAGATACAAATTATGAACGACGACTTGACACAGAGGGATGATTGTGCAGTGGCAGCGGTCAAATCGTATGTAACTGTCAGGATCATAGAAAAGTGGTGGCCACAGAGTGACTATAAAAATATTATTTATGAAAACATAACCATATCTCCAGACAGAGTTTTTGTCCTCCCTTGGTCACGCCACCACTACTTACTCCTACCTAGACCACACCGCCGCCGAAGGACGCCGTCGGTCGAAGCCCGAGCGGCCGACGGCGACGGCAGGTCGCCTTCGCGGAGCAGCCTCCGGTCTCTAGGGCACGAGCTCCAGGCGGTGTGTCAGCACTCGGCCAGGGTCCCAGGGACCTCAGCTGTTCTTGGCATCCCCGCGTGGGGCACAACAGCAGTCTCCGGTGGCATGGAAATGAGGGTCTGTCAGGGGAGTGAGGCATGTGCGATGTGATGACCAGATCCGTCTGCTTGTGTCGCGGCTGGGCTGCTGCTAGGAACTGGGCGCTGGCCATAGGGCATATCGGTGGAGTTTGGCAAGGGACCATGTGTGTTGCGACCATGCGTGATGAGGTGCCATGGTTCTTGGTTGCAGGAAAATTCTGCTTTCTATGCTTCTGATCCGGCCATGTCGGCCCCTAGGTTGATGGGCTTGGACAGTACTTTCTCTAGCGAGGTGGCAATCGATGGTGATGTGTTGCGACATATGTTCTGGTCTGTATACTGACCACTCTGGTTTGGTGCGGCAGCCTCTCTGTGGATTATGATGGCCACCAAAAGATCTTCACGAGGATTCATCTCTTCAGGTCCGATTGTTCTCTTTGATCACAGTGAGATGCAATATATGGATAACGACTTGACGCATAGGGTAAGATTATGCAGTGGCGGCGATCGGTTCGATAGCCCATCACATGTAGCTGCTTGGATCGTGGAAAAATGGTGGTGACCGATAATGGTGCTGCACAAGTACCTAGTCTTGAACTTGGGGGTGAAAACCTAGGTCTGACAGGAGTTGGTCACACATGCCAATGGTGATTCTTTGTGTTGTTACCTTGTTGAAGGCATTGCTCAGATAAGCTCAGACTACTTTATGGTAGAAAACCTAGAATCTGGCCTTTGATGGTTGAATCCGGTGACATCAGTGTAGAGGGATTCTCTCTTTCTGAAGAGGTTGTTGTTGAAGAACCTCATTGTCCTTCTAGTGTCATGCGATGGTTGGTACGCATAAGGTTGTTGTTTTATTTTGCTGATTGCAGATTTGTTCGATTTGATGTTATTTTTTCTCTTTAGTTATAGTTTTGGTATTATATGACTTTGCTATTTTCCAGTGGGTTTTTATGCGTTTGCGTTGGTTTTGGCCAAGTGCATCCTAAATATGCATGGCCGGGTGTGTTCGTATCCACTAGATGCTTCATTTTGAGTCAATACAGTCCATCCTTTGTCGAAAAAAATAATATCTATAGACAATATAGAGGTCAAAGATAGACCTTTAGAATTGTATCAACGTCTAAAATGATGTATTATGCAATTAAGAGGTAAATATAAGTTAAAATATCTACATAAGATAAAATAAATAACTAGCCACCTTGCTAGTTTATGAAAGCATCACGCAACCCTAAAGGAGTTTCAACTGAAACTTCAAGATCATACGAAGTTGATATGGCAAATTTTTAGCATGTAGTAATATATTCGTCACCCATATATAATCAATGAGAGGTTTCTACAGATATCAATGAGTGTGCAGGATCAACCTACTGCAATGGGACATGTCAAAATTTTCTTGGAAGCTACACATGCACGAGTTGCCCACATAGAAAAGAGTTTGATCCAATAAAACAGCAGTGTGTTACATCAGCCAAGCAACACAGTCTTCTTTTGGGTAAGTCGTAGCTAGTGATATATTCTTATTGCAGTTATAATTAACCAAATGCAGAGTGACTCAAAGAGCGATGATTAAATGTAGGCATCGCAATTGGAACTGGATGTGGCCTTGGCTCCATAATTATTGCAGTCTGTGTAGTTAGATTCACCAACAAATGGAAGAAAGGCATCCAGAAGAGAATCTGACGAGCACACTTCAAGAAAAATCAAGGGCTTCTCTTGGAGCAGCTTATCTCAGATGAAAGCGTCACAAATAAAACAAAGATATTCTCCTTGGAGGATCTAGAGAAGGCAACCAACAACTTTGATACCACTCGTGTTCTTGGTCGCGGAGGACACGGTACAGTTTATAAAGGGATTCTATCTGACCAACGGGTGGTGGCTATTAAAAAATCCAAAATTGTGGAGCAAACTGAGATAGACCAGTTTATCAATGAGGTTGCTATCTTGTCTCAAATCATTCATCGAAATGTGGTAAAGCTCTTCGGTTGTTGCCTTGAATCTGAGGTGCCTTTGCTGGTGTACGAGTTCATATCTAATGGCACACTGCATGACCTACTTCACATTGATGTTGGTGTTAAATGCTTGCTGTCTTGGGATGATCGCATTAGAATTGCTGTAGAAGCGGCTGGTGCACTTGCTTATCTACATTCGGCTGCTGCAATACCAATTTTCCATAGAGACGTGAAGTCTTCTAACATTCTATTGGACAGCAGCTTCGCCACAAAGGTTTCTGACTTTGGTGCTTCAAGGTCTCTTTCACTCGATGAGACACATGTGGTGACTATTGTCCAAGGAACATTTGGTTACCTAGATCCAGAGTATTACCATACTGGGCAGTTAACGGAAAAGAGTGATGTGTATAGTTTTGGAGTAATACTTGTGGAACTTTTGACAAGAAAAAAGCCAATTTTTATCAATGATCTAGGTGCAAAACAGAACTTGGCCCATTATTTCGTGGAAGGATTGCAAGAGGGAGCTATCATGGAATTAATGGATCCTCAGGTTGTCAAAGAGGCAGATCCGGAAGACATTGATGATATTTCGTCACTTACAGAAGCATGCTTGAGACTGAAAGGAAAAGACAGACCTACTATGAAAGAAGTAGATATGAGGTTGCAATTCCTGCAAACTAAGAGGCTAAGAAAATGCAATATTCTCCCAGAGGTTAGTAACTCTGATGCACAGATGCTGCCCAGTTGCTACAGTCTAGAACAAGAACTTTCATCCTCACTCACTTTGCCACGTTAAGTATATACGTGCAATACCAAAATTGCGTCCTTCCAAGTATTCATCTGAATTATACCATTTATTTTTTATGGGAGTCGTATTATGTATTTATGTTTCATAGTTCACTTTGGACCAGAGTATGTCATGTAGTTTCGCTTCCAGTATATTTGCATATTTTACTTGTAAGCCTATGTCAATTGTGTACAACTGTATTACAATTATTTCGGCAAATATGCTTGTAAGGAATAACTTAAGATACATCATTGTATTTAAGATGCAGTGATGGAGAAAGACGTATTTGTAGTGTTGTCAGCAATTTTCATACACTCCCTTGCCGTTGGCTTACTTGGTAGAGGCTCCAAGAGTATCCGACGGAAACCTGCTTAACTTTAGCCAAGACGGGTAGTTCACTGTATTTTTTATATAACATCGTAAAAGACCCTTCAGACCAGTTAAGTACTCTAGTAGCCAAGGCAAAATGAGAGCAAGAGTAAGGGACTCTTGCATTTGATGTCTTTGGCTCTTTGCGCAACAAGTATTAATGGCATGGTTCACGTCAATTGAATTTGCTCAAAAGGCAAAATCCTGAACTCTGCAAGAGGCTTTGGCAATATCAGAGGCTCCTGGTTTACCAAGAGGCTTTGGCACAAGGTGCAGGCTTATCACATAGGCCTCCCGGAGGACCTCCTCCAATCTGGAAGCCGTCTTCCATGCCACGGGCTGCTCGCCGCTGTCTTTCAGGAACTGAAAATACGCTGCATGCACCATAAGAATTTGTACATATAAATATTACATTACACATGTATTAAATCCACATCAAAGGCACATATAGGAAGCACAGCTTGCCTCTGACGAATTTCTCAAGCCGTGCAGTGCGGATTGATATAGGTCGAAGTAGATGAAGTTCATTTAGAAGCCATCAATATAGCACACAAAAGTTAAGTCAGTTTTACATTGGTCGGAATGATATTGCTACGCATGCCAGACATTTCAACAGGTTGAAACGAGATCTATATATGGATGTATAAATACCATCATCCTTGCATAAGCTGAGCCAAAGCGGCCTGCCCCGATAATTCCAACGGTCTACCCCTTGAGCAGTTCCTAACAAACCTCTATGTTGTTAATCCTTCTGTATTTATTATTGCATACGGCATATAAATGCTACTCACTCGGTTTTCAAATATTTGTCTTTCTAGACATTTCAAATGGTTACAACATACGGATGTATGTAGACATATGTTAGAGTGTAGGTTCACTCATTTTGCTTGGTATGTAGTCACTTGTTGAAATCTCTAGAAAGACAAATATTTAGAAACGGAGGGAGTAAAAAGGATGGCAATCGTTGGTGCGGCAGTTGGAGATGAGGCCGTCGGATCCACTGCCGACGCTGCGCTGGGCGGCCACCTTCTCCATCGCCCTCATCGACAGATCACCAGCCTGGCATGCTAGCTCTCTATTCAATGACGGTGCCAAGCGCTGGCTGGACGGGCGGGTAGGAGGGGTCCGGCTCATCCTCCTCCTGCTCGACCTCTTCCATGTAGGCGAGCATCTTCGCCTCCGCCTTCTCCGAGGCCTGCTGCGCCTCCACCTCCTGCCGGCGACGCCGTCTGGCCTCCGCAACCGACTCCGATCGGAGGGAATCGATAATGGCCTGCTGCTCCGCCTGCAGATCCCCGTCGCCAGCCTCCCCCACATCCTTCTCCTCCTCCTCCACCTCTTCCTCCTCCTCCAACTCCTCCTCCGGATCCACTGCATCCGGAGGTAGCCCCGCGGCGACCTGGTCTTCGCGCCTAGCCCGGATTTGCTCAAGGAGCTCGAGCCAGCGATCCAGCGTCAGAAAGGGCCCGCTCCTCACCCGTCGGCGTGGGGCAGGGCTACTAGGCGGTTGAGCGGAGTGGAAAGTGGCGGTGGCGGCAGACAGGAGGAGGAAAATGTAGATGGATGATAGGGTTTCGGTGCAGCCGGTCGACTTAAATAGCCGGGCTAGGCACTGCGCGGCCCGCCGGAGCTACGCCACCGGTCCGATGGAGGAGATGAGCTGCGGACCGTCGGGTTTCAGGGCGTTTTCGGCTGGGAGCCCTTCGACAATCCGACGTGGCGGGTGTCCCCGGCCGTCCAGGGGTCCCCATGACTGGTGACTGACCGGGTGGGCTGCCCGGGCGTATGAGGCGGATTGGAAGGTGCGACTGTAGATTCTCTTACACTATCGTGCTAGATCCGACACACACCACACGACCTATCCTTCTGGTTCATAAGTTGGGGCAACATTTTCCAGATGTATTTTATTGTAATTTATGAGGTTTAAAATTCTTTTTATTTTTAAGAATAAATAAATAATACTATGAAATGAACATGATGCACATATAACTCCTAATTACTACTTCCTCCGTCCCATAATATAAAAGCACCCTCCGCCTCATAATATAAGTGTTTTTACAGTACACTAGTATCAAAGAAGACCATTATATTATACTAGATGACACCCCGCGCGTTGCAGCGGGAATCTATGATAAAAATGAAGAGAAAGTAAAACACTATGTGTGGGGAAAATGAAAAATTATGTAAAAATATTGACATGCCTTATATAAGGGATGGGCATTTTGGCTCTGCTCTCAGATGAACAGTAAAAATGTAAAGAAAATAAAAAATGCTTGTTTTTTTTCTATATGTTCATGTTAGCATCGCCAGCATGCTCGAAAATTTTCATGTGAAACAAAGGAGCAGCAGTGTTTCGTCTGTGAAAAAAACAAATTTGGTGTCACAATTGGTCTTCAATTTTTTTTCCCTTTTTGCCTCAAAATTTGCAGGTATCATTTTTATGTGACTAAGATAAAATAAAATTTTGTCTTGATTTTTTTGACATTTGAAAAATTATTTTTGGCCCCGGGAGCCAAATTGAATTTCCACTTGTGTCATGTGACAATACAAAAAGGAAGCTTCCATTGATATTATTATATGTTACACTTACTAAATAAAACAATCATTCGTTGGAAAACATTGTGTTTTCACTTTGATTGATTTCACACCTCCCTAGAAACAAAGAATGTTTAAAATATTAGAGCAATACAATACGGAACATGTATGGGCAAAGTACGAATGGTTTTCCCAAAATCACACAACTATTTGAAGAAACCAAGTTCAGTAGTTGTGAGTTTAGTCAAAAGCACACACACTAAAATCTGGAAGGAATATTATTCTTGTCATTCCTCTTAATTAATCAACATATGTCCAGACAAAAGGAAAGAACAATACATTAAAAGAAATTTTATTCAAATATTAAAAGAAATTTACAAACCTTTTGTGATCCTAATCAATAAATTTAGCATATCTAAAATTCTAAACCCACATAATCAATGTGAACCGCAGTCCACCCTCCACCATCATGTTAAGGGAGAGAGAGCGAGAGACAAAGAAGACAGGGGGATATAATAGGAAGCCGTGCGGCTAGCTAACCGATCCTCGCCTTCCTCCAGTTCTTCATTTGCTGGGTCCATGGACAATCATTTGAGGGAGCGTGTGATAGGAGATACTTTGAAGGCGTAGGGACCTGTAAACAAAAAAAAGGAGAAACATGAATTAACATAGGCCGGGCCAAAAATTAGACAACAAAACTTTTGAAGGGCGAGAAAAGGCCATGAACGACCAGAGCCTGATCCAAAAAGATACCAACACAAATCTTCAAGGACAGAAAATTCATTTGCCACTAATGGTACTGGGCATCGTCAGGAACCGTAGTTGATTCTCCTCCTCAATAAATACATAGCA